TGAGGCTCAGAAGCTGACAGGGAGGGACATGGTGGCCAGGCTGGACTGGATGGGGCTCTCTTTCTGGCCTCTGTTGTGTCAGGCAGTGTGTCTGTCCTCCCCAGAACCATGCCATCTTTTTTTTTTTTTTTTTGAGTCAGAGTCTCACTGAGGCTGGAGGGCAGGGGCCACTGCAGCCTTGACCTGCTGGACTCAGGCGATCCTTCTACCACAGCCTTCCAAGTAGCCAGAACTACAGGTACGCACTACCATGCCTGGCTTATTTTTTTGATTTATTGTAGAGACGAGGTCTCACCAAGTTGCCCAGGCTGGTCTGGAACCTCTGAGTTCAGGCAATCCTCTCACCTCGGCCTCCCAAAGTGCTGGGATTATAGACTTGAGCCACGAAGCCCTTTCAGGCCGTGCCATCTTTTTTTTTTTTGAGGTGGTGTCTCACTCTGTCACCCAGACTGGAGTGCAGTGGCCATTCATTAAAGATGGCATGACCTGAGTCGGGCTCTGTGGCTCAGGCTGTAATCCCGCGCCTTTGGGAGGCTGAGGTGAGTGGATTGCCTGAGCCCGCGGGTTCAAGACCCGCCTGGGCAGCGAGACCTCATCTCTACAATAAATCAAAAAATCAGCCGGGTGTGGTAGCGCGCGCCTGTAGTTCCAGCTACTTGGAAGGCTGAGACGGAAGGATCGCCAGAGCCCAGCAGGTTGACGCTGGGATGGCCATGAGCATGCCACTGCATTCCAGCCTGGGTGACGAAGTGAGACTCCAACTCAAAAAAAAAAAAAGGGTCAAGGTGGGCTCTGGGATCAGCAGCAATTGCGGGAAGGAAAGGGGAGGTCTAGGAAGTCCCAGGGTGCAATTCTTTCTTCATACCCCCCTTGGGTTATGGGTGCAGATTCAGGGGGCGTTAGTGTGGACCGTGTGGGAGGCACGGGCTGTGACGTCAGCAAGCCCGGCTGGCCCAGATGGCTCCGGCGAGCCCATGTTGTCATCTCAAGTGTGGGGCAGACAGCTTTGGGGGAGGTGGCTTTTCTTGCCGGCCATCCTGTAAGCTCAGGAGTTTGTTGCTCTCTGGGACACTTTTTCAGACAACACTACATTAGAGCCTCTGGTGGTTTGAGGAAGGCTGGACTCTATTCTCTTGAGCAGGATGGGCAGCCCTGGCAGTGGGTGGAGTCCCAGGCCCCAGGCCAGCCTGAGGCCACTGGGCCAGGACTTCCCCTTCGACTGTGGCAGGGGCTGTGGCGGGCAGGTGCCCCGGGCCTTCCAGAGAGTACTGCCAGGTGGTGCCAGGGGTCCAAGTTGTTGGCATTGTTGTGGCACAGCACCTCAGAGTTGGCCATAGCACATCATGTCAACACAGAGACCCCTGGGTTCAGGCAGTCTTCTCTCCTCTACCTCCCAAAGTGTTGGGATTACAGGCGTGAGCCTCTGTCCCTGACTATGTATTGTAAATGTCTTTTTTCTTTTTTCTTTTTTTTTTTGAGTTGGAGTCTCACTCTATCACCCAGACTGGATAGACCGCTCCCGGCCACTGCAGCCTCGACCTGCTGGGCTCCGGCCATCCTTCCACCTCAGCCTTCCGAGTAGCTGGAACTA